GCTAGAGCCTTCCTTCCACAGCCACGGCACTACGAGGTGCCTCTGCCGAGGCAGCCTGTTCTAGTTCCCATAGAAAAATGCACATTTTTGTGACCACTTCTGTTTTAAAACAGAACCGACTGTGACACAGTTGTACTGGGGGAAGCCACTGCACAGACCCCTCCTTTCCCCTTCTCACTCTCCCTCTGCTCGGGTCCCACCAAAACTGGCAGTGTGTTTTACCCTCCCTCTGCTCTGGTCCTGTGAAATCTCGTATTTCATGGACACTTTTGCTTTCCTTCTCTTGGCTTCTCCTCCTGTTCCCACGGGATCCCTTCGGTAAACTGGTGCTGATCTGACACAGGTATTTTCTTTGCTATTTCCAAAAGGAAAAATAAATAAAAATCATTCCTCTGTGAAAAGATGCAGCAGCTGAAAAACCCTAAGCAGAAGGGAAAGGTTTAGACAGAGTGGGTTATGAGAGTTAACAGCGATAGAGCTGAGATGCACTGATAGCTTTTGAAACCTATTCCACACATGCAGTATTTTTGTCTTCAGCTGCAGGGACCCTTCCATTTATATCCCCTTACCCATATCAGTGATACCAGCTTTGGTTCCTGTTTGTTGTTCCCTTCCATTCCTGACTGATATCTAAGCAGCCGCCAGTTTTGATGCTTGCAAACTTGTTCGCTTTCTCTGATTATACCTTGTAACACCTTTCGAGAACTTGGGCACTGTATCACTAGACCAAAAGGGCTGCAATTACCCTGTGACCTTTTTTCATATTACCATGCTAACACACTCAGCAATCCTCCTTAACTGTGCAAACTACACAAGATCTACGCCAGATCAGTAACAAATCATTAGAATAGAGCAAACCGCTTTTGGGTGGTGATCAGGCCCGATATGACCTAATGACTAGGTCATGATTTTTGGGAGTTTATGTGCTCTTTGGGGGTTAGAGGGAAGAACATAACCATGGTGTTAAAAATGCCACAAACCCACTTATTACACTTTTATCCTTCTTTAAAGAAAACCCAGACACAGTGGTGGGCAAAAATCACCCTCTTCTAGCAACCAGTGTTCAAAATTTTCATAATGCATCTTGGCACTTGTTAAATATGAACCCACCCTAATACAGATAGTATATTAAAAAAAAAAAAAGGCGCTTTATAATCAATCAAGTATACAGATGAGGGCTACCTCTGAGAACACAAATTAACCCCTAGAAGTACACGTAGCTTCTGTAAGGTTAGGCTAAACCAAACTACAGAATTTCTGTTCTCCTGACCACAGATACATAACGTATGCAGTGGTGTGTTATAAGTACTGACGATACATTTGAATTGCCATGTATCTCAATAAAAAGCAGTAAGCTTGGAATGAATTTGAGCCTTTGAGCATTTGATTTCTTTATCATCTGACATTTCCAGGTAACATCAGCCAATACCCCACGTTAAATAGTATACCAAAATAAGTAGTCTTTGCTCAAAAACCTGGCTAGAGATTGCTTTCCTGTGATAGCCATCCTACAAAAAACTTTGGGTTTGAAATAAGTCTTAAGATCAAAGAGCTTCTACTCAGAGTACCTTACTACTTAACAAAAAAAGTAGTAGCATCCCAATAGCACAGCATGCCCAAGGAGGAGGGTTCCCTCCCATCTTATGAGAAAATTCCCTCTGTTGAATGTTATCCAACTCGTTTCAGCAGATATATTATGATTTCAGAAGTTACTACTTCTGAATTTCCAAGCCTTCTGGTTACGGTGATTACATGCTGCTTGGTAGGAACAGGCATTAGCAATGTAAATAGGAACAAGGTCCTATATTGCTGCAGTTTGAGGTAGGGCTGTTTTTCATCAGGTTCTATGGTATTGAATGGCAGCGCCAAGCTATCAGTAATATTAATGCAAGTTTAGAGATTCAGTATTCAAAAATACCTATCTAATTCACATTCATGAGAAGAGCACCTGCAATTCTTACAAGAATAACTACTACATAGATGCATAATTACTGTTAGCATGGAAAAATTACCATAGATATGTGACTTTGAACCAATTCTTGAAAGGGACACCCCAGATAAAGAAGCAAGGTGTTAGTTCATGGCACATTAAAGTCTCACAACTGAATTCAGGCCTTTGTACCTGTGACACCCGCCCCATCTGCACAACAGTCAGTAGCACCACCCCAAGAAAGCCAGAGAGCCGTTACCAGAAACTTCCAGGGAGATGAAAGCTCACCTGTGAGAGCAGCAGTGGGTATTCTTGGCACTGCTATGAGTCATTTGTTATTCAGCTATCTGATTAACTGTAAAGGAATTTAAAGAAAGAACCAAAAAACAAACAAAACACAACAACAATCTCTGCTAACAAGTATCAGGTATAGCAGAGCTTACCTTCTTACTAAACGAATGCAGCCATATCCTCAGTCCTGTGCTCATAATGCAGGCTAGCAATCCAGCAAAACAAAATCTGCATCCTTTCAAAGTCAGGAAAGCCAAAGAAGAAAACTCTGAAGAGAGCATGCTGCTCCAGATGTAGAGATGATGTTCCCTATCTATATGACAACAGGGCATAGAGTATATATACATTTGGAAGAGGAAGCTTGCTCTTTCTCTCTTCTACAGGCAAAACCTTTTCTTTCTTTTTTTTTAATTAAGTTTACTCTTCCCTATTTTGGCTTGTCAGCATTGAACTAACCACACAATTTCTAAATCAGCACATAAACATCTCTCTTCCCTCAAATGCCTGCTTTCTACAGACAATTTCACTGCCTCCTTAGCTCCCAGGCTCCAGAAAGAGGCTGTGGTAATTAGGTTGCAGCTGATGATCCTAACAACGTTAAGCAATCTTTTCAATTAGAGATTTGATGATACAGGTGCACAGTAGTTTACAGGAGTTAGCAGTCACTTGTTGGTCTGAAAAATTTGGGAATCCCTTTGCTAGGCTATTTAGAGCTCTTAATTACCCTAATGAGCCACTCTACTGTTGCTGATAGTGGCACTTGGAAATGGTGCCTTTCTCCCAGCTCTGTGTATGCCTCGTAGTCACCCAAGAGGAATGGAAACTGAAGCACCCTTCTAGTCTCTTGGACTTTGTCTTTTCTCAGCAAACTCTTTCCTTACCTGATGTCAGGTACTTAAGGTAAAAGTTCAGTGAGGGGAAAAAAATGGAACTTGTGGCTTGTACCTGTGCTAGCAATGGAGCTTGCTGGCATGTCCTGAAGGTACTGTCTGTGTAGCCGCCTTTTAAGGTTTTACCTCCCGAGAGACATGTTAGGCAAGAGAGCACCACAGCTTTATCAAAGGCTTAAAATTATTCTGGCATCCACTGGGGTTTACTTATCTACCCATTTCATAGGTTCCCCCATGCTCGCTTTTTCTCTTGGTGCACTCAGGAGTTACTACAAGCCTTCACAATTTCTTTCTTCCTCTTCTTTCTGAGGGGCAGGGAAGAAGTTGCCTTATATCCCACCACAGTCCTTCCTAGCACTTGTCTCCTTAAATTCAGACAGCTATGAAAAAAAGTTTCCCACAGAAGCTGGTTCTTTCTTTCATTCCCCAGAGAAAACTTTTCTTTGTTTGTTTTAAGCTTCAAGCAAACACTTTAGAGCTGGATTTGCAAAGACGCCTAAAAGGTAGCTTAGAGTTATATCAGTGTCTGGGCAGCTGACAGGTCCTTGTTCAGGCAATTTAGAAAATGAGATACTTATCAGAATCATTAGGCGATACCTGCCTTTGGGACCATTGCCCATATGGACAAAAACTATTTATTAACAGCACTTTGTGATCCTCAGATGAAGAAATGGTTTTACATCAACTTAATATAACTGTAATGGGTTGACAGGATAAATCATTGTGATCTTCAGGTCTGATCCTGTGAGAACCACAACATCTTTGGTTTCAAACTGCGGCCCTTTGTTCATAAGGGTCACGAGAGTATATGCTTGTGTCCCAGTCCTTACACAGATGCTTATTTCGTGGAACAGTTAAATGCTTGATAATGACACTTCTTTTTCCTTCTTTGTACTACAGGTCCAGAAGCACTAGGGTACTTGATTTTTTTTTTTTTCAATTTGCTAAGCCACAAAGACTGCAAACATGTCTCTGGAAGACATCCACATGAACAGCCAGGATTTGCTTGATAAAAAACAATTAGACGCTGGAGGATTTGGAACAATTTCTTTGTGCTTTCACAAGAAACATGGATATGTAGTACTAAAAAAAGTGTATACAGGACCCCAGCGCACTGAGTAAGTTACAGATCTTAGTTCTGATATTTATCTTTCAGTTAGTCTAAGGAATCCTCTGAACTCAACGGAGATAAATCTAAATAAAGTGTAATAATTTCAGATCTTTGGATTCTGGAGATACTGAATGTGGGGAAAATACTCTCAGACAATGCTAGCAGCTGTCCTGCAAATTTTCCTTTTTTCTGTCACGAGCCAAGTTCTTTAGTTTTAACTCATTGTTCCAGGGAAGTTCCTGTTTTCTGTTGCAAGATGAGCATTACTGTGAGTTGTTAAGAATCGAGGGGACTTAAGCAAATGCAGGAAATGCACACTTAAGGAAATGCAGGAGCTCAGTGGCCACATGATATTTTCAAGCTTGCAGATCAATTTTCAATACAATTGTCCAACGGTAGATGTCCACTAGGAGCTAAACACACATGAGCTATCAGCAGGACTCCAGCCCCACATGTATAATACCAAGAATGTAACCCTCTCCCCTTTGAGAAAAAGCAGAGTGAGCCAAGCCCAAGCCAAAGCCCCCATTTAATTCAGAGATTGAATTAGCTGTTGATTTCAGTGGATTCAGGTCACGTTGCAGCTCTGCTACCTCACAGCCATAACAATCCTAAAACTCTCCCATGAGTCATCCACTAGAGAGAGACAAAACCCCATGTTCTTCTAGTTCAGGTTATGATAAAGAAATTAACTGAGTTTTTATTTTGCCAGTGGAAGGCAAATGAAGAGATTCTAGTAGCTTGGAGACTGCAGTGACAGTTTGGGATGCCCAGTTAAAATGGACAGGCCTGCCAGGTTTATTTTTGGGTTTGTGTTTTTACTTTCTCACTACACAGGCTCCTAAGTTTGTTATTCCTTAAAGTATTGAACCAAAAGTCTTAAGCAAATTTCTAACTGACCCTAATGCAAACAAAACCACCGCTTTCTTCTCTAGTACTACAGAGGAATGCAGAGGGAGAAAGCAGTTTTCTTTTAAGTCACAGGTTAGGAAAGCATTAGCAAGCAACATAGTCTCAAGATTTTCTTACATCCTTTTGCCCGATGACTAGAACAGGAGCAATAGAAAAAATACCACCCCTTCTTCTATTTAATATAATGGGTACCATCCTTCTTTAACAGCCTTAGTGAGCTCTCAGCTGTGTACCTGTAACTATTGATGGGTTGTACTGAGGCTTAGGTAAAGAGTTAGGCTTTGAATTCATCCTAAACCAGTAACAATTAGTCATGTTACCATCATCCAGTATGTGGGTGGATCCCCTGTAATAAATCCATTTAGAACATGAATACCAGCCCTTTGGGCAAGCAACCTGTATAGTTTCCTTTACAAGAGGTAGCGGAGTGTGTCTTGATCCTCCTTGTTCAAAGGCTTTCAGCCCTGCCCTGTCCTGATCCCACCGCAGCTCAGGGATTTGAACATGCACAACCAGCAATGCACCTATAAAACAAATGCCTAGACACTTTCTGAAAAGCAGGCCTTAAATTCAGGCTGAGCACACAGTCTCTGTGCAAGGCATTTGAGCAGAGACTTAGAGAATATAACCTGGTATGAACAAATCTGTATCAGTTCAAAACCAGCTGAAGATATTGTTCATCTTACAGCGGCTCTAGGGATGTTGACATTTTTGGCCATCATTTTCATTGTGAATAAACAGCATTTTCATCCCTGTGTAATTTCTGTTTTATAGATATAACGCTTCCCTCCTTGAAGAAGGCAGGATTATGCACAGACTGCAGCATGACCGTGTGGTAAAACTACTAGGTATCATTTTGGAAGATGGAAACTACTCACTTGTGATGGAGTACGTGGACCGGGGGAACATGATGAAAGTGCTACAGAAAGTGAGCAGAGAATTGCTTCATCCCTTGCCGTTCCTTAGGGTTCATAAGATGCTTGAAAGGGACAGGATGTTACTGCCATCTCCAGAGAATGGAGTCTTTAGTTTCTCATTCTGCTTTCTGTATTAAAGAGCCAGTGGCAGCCCTGTCTTCTCTAGAGACAGCAGAGGACAACTAGGGCTTTCCTGCACATCACAGAGGAGCAGTCCACAGTTACAGGTTCAAAGTTACAGGGGTGTTTGTAGAGATAGGTGGAGAATTTGCTGAAGATGAATGCTTTTGTAAATACGGAGTGACTCTAGAATTACTTTAATGCAAAAACTTAGATCCAAGAAGGACCTTAGTTCTTTTTTACCATAGCTTGAGCAGAGGTACTCTTGGGACTGGAAAATGAACTTTTTTAAAGGCTGTTTTTTAATTTGATGGTTGTAGAAGCATTTTTTTGAGATGGTACTTCTGTTCCTTGTTTCAGCTCTCACTGCCTTTGTCAGTGAAAGGGCGTTTCGTGCTGGAGATCACAGAAGGAATGCTTTATCTGCATGAGCAAGGCTTCGTACACAAAGACCTAAAACCAGAAAACATCCTTGTGGACACAGACTTCCACATTAAGGTACCTGTTAGAATGTAAATGGAGAAAGCTGGTGATTTGGGTTGAAGAACCCAGTCCAGCTGCATTGGTTAGTATTCCTGATGGGTAGATGAACTCCTTTGTAGTCTAGCAACTTATTGCTATGAGAGTGTTAGCAGTGGATCACTGAAGTATGGTGGCCTGTACAATATCTGAGCCTGAGATTTGCATAATCTCCCCCCAACTGTGAAAAATAAAATCTCTAAGAGTATTTAGAAAAATGAATAATATTTTTGAGAATTAATGAACTACAAATAACAAAACAACTGGAAAGAAAAAACAAACCTTAACACAGACATTGAAACAAAATAGAATATCTATGGATCGTGGCTTTTGTCCTTTATTGCTGTAATTTCTCCTCCTGCTTTTACTTCCTCCTTTTTTTTCCTTTCCTGCTTTTGCCTCCCTCTTTTTTCCTTTAGTCATCATTTTTAAATGACACCCAGCAGCTACCAAAAAAGCAGCAGGAGACTACTTCCAAGGATGGTTTATAAGCCTGTTCCAAAGCCCTTCTGTTACCTTTAGCGGGGTTTTGGATCAAGACACACAGATATAGAGCCTACCGCTGAATAAACCTGAGTAGAATTTGCAGCAGTCCTCATCAAATGTCCTGTCTCTGGTCAAGGTGAGTTGGTGAAATAATCACCCCATTACAGTTTGAAACTATAGAATAAGTTCCTGTTAAGAGAGCTCTGTCATTTGATATATTTCTCACACATAAATTAGTGAGAAGTTGTTTGACAAAATTAATATAGTAGCAAGTCCTAGTGCAGCATGAGCAGCTTGCAGATAACGGGTATAAACTACATTTTTTTTTGCCAAAAATAAAAAAAAAAAATCATGATCTGCCTTAAATGTAAATTGGATGACTTTTTGGGTTTCAGTTTGCTTATACGGATGGGACCAAACTAGGCTACCATCATACCACCAAACCCAGGATCAAATTTAGAATCAGATCAGGCTTCCTTAAGGAGCCTGATGAAAAGTATAATTTAAGGCAGCTGTTGTATGATCTATCTGCTTGAATGTGTCTAACATTGCCAGTATTTATAAAGGGAAATAGTTGTTCTAGGAAACTGCAAATGTAGGAAGATTTATATCATATCTTCCTCCATCACATTAGACCTTCTCTCAATTGTAGACATGAACTTGGACTCCTGCTTCCTCAGCAAGATGTCACTTACATTTTCCTCTGAATACATGACCTGTAAATTTAGCTCAAAGCTTCAGAAACTCAAGAGGAACAATAAGCTAGTTAAAGGCAACAAGACAGAAAAGAAAAGCGAGTTAGAAGTGAGGCAAAGTGTCACCTCGGTTTTATCTGAGTTGATTGGGTTACACAACTCAGTTTGACAGCTGCCTGTGGCCAAGAGAGGCAGTCCCATTTTCTTTCATTTTTCCTCTCATGTTGACCTCCTGTTCCCTTGTGTTAGCACCGGTGCTAATCAGACCACCCTGCGCTGATTTAGGAAGCCAAACCAGCAGATTATTATTTACCATGTTCGCAGTGCTGCCCTTCTGTTGGAGAGCACTTGGTTCAGCAAGTCGGTTGAGTGTCTTGCACTAGATCTTCTCAGTGTCAGATAAGTGTTAGTGCTGGAACAGGAGGAGCAGAGGGAGCACATAACAGGAGGCTGTGGGGAAAGGAGGGAAGGATTACTTTCTTCACCATCAGTCTAGTTGTAAAACTGCACCCTAAAGTTTCAGTAATGTCACCTTGTCGAGCACACAGTACCCAGATATCCCTGCTTTAACTTATTCCATGCTATCCTTTTCCATGCACATCACCTCATTTTAGAACCTCTTCTTCCCCCTTTCTGCAGGAAGGTCCAAGTTGAGTTAAATGAAATCTAAATGGTAAGGACAGTGAGAGAGGAGGAATATCTGCCCATCTTATAGATAGCTTCTGGATTTGAATCTTGGCTTCTTCTCATGTGGATCTTCTGTTCTGCCGCAAGCATGCAAGCAGATCTTGAACGTGACTGTCAATATAAGTAAAACCAAACTTCTTTTTTCCTTACATTGTGTGATCATTCTGAGAGGAGTTAAGTTAATAATGAAGGTTCAGCCTAACGGTTCCCAGTTGGCAGTAATACTTAATTTAGGCAAAAAAAAACCTACAAAACAGCAAATAGTTTGTTTTCCTTTCTTGTCATTACATTTTTTGCAGTGTTTCATTTTTAGATAAGTTATTATCAGCAATTCATTATAACATTGAGCAGTGCGTGAAATACTTGTTTATCTCCTCTTCCTAACAGCACTAGCTCTGATGCATCTCATTTTTCAGATTGCAGATCTCGGCATTGCCTCCTTTAAGAGCTGGAGTCGGCTGACCCAAGAAGAGGCTGTCCGACAGAAGCAAATCAAGAGCGCTCGCCAGAACAATGCTGGGACTCTTTTCTATATGGCCCCAGAGCATTTACGCTGTGTTAATGTAAAACCTGTGGAGAAATCAGATGTTTACAGCTTCGGCATAGTGATCTGGGCAATTTTTGCTAACAAAGAGCCATATGAACGTAAGTTACTTCCAAAAGGATGCTATCGCAAAATTAAGTTACAAATGTTAAGCATTTAAAGTTATAAGATTAGTAGATTAAATCACCTGTGCCCAAAACCAGTGCCTGTTTGGCACGTCATGGCCAGTAAGAGGTGTTGGTTACATCAATCCTGACTTCTAAGCATGGGCAAGAACATCTGAATTGAAATGCAGGCATGAACTCAATCTATTCACATGGCATGGTGTGGGCATAAGCCTGCGCTCAGTGGCAGAAGTTAGACAAACCTTGGGCAGGCCAGGATGGAGACTTTGATGTACGCAATTTCCTGAGGTGGGCTAGTTACGTGTGGTTTTTCTTTTAACAGGAATGGTCACACAGCCAGTTCCTGCTGCTCAGCTGTGTAGTGCTATTTTCTCAACATGCAGTAATGTGCTCATGTAGAACAATAGGAGCAGACTCCGGATTTCCAAAGTAACATGTTCATCATTTTGAGTGGATTTTTTGCTAACTAAATGGCTAAACATTGCCTGCGTGGCCGTCTTTGTGTTCATACCCAGTGCACAGCCTAACTGAGATGCAGGTTCTAGAGAGCTAGATCTGTCACCCTTACTCACACTGGGCATATCTTACATATAAAAGTAAATCCATTAATCTTAAAATAAATCTCATGGAAGTTAGGGCAGTGGATTCAAATTCACTAATGCAAGAGATTTGTAGCTGTAACTTGGACGCCTTTGAAATCTTCTTTTACGTATCCACAAATACACAGGGAGCTGCTTCATTATTTCTTTTGCCTACAGAAAGTTAGCAAAACCTGTGATCAGGGTCTGATAAGAAATTTTATTTTTCAGATGGTATAAATGAAGCCCAGATTTGCTTTGGCATCATGAATGGAAACAGACCAGACATAAAGGAGATCACTGATAAATGTCCAGTGGAAATAATTGACCTAATGAAACAATGCTGGGAGCAAGAGTCAGAGAAACGGCCAACCTTTGCAGGTAAGGCATTGCTTTAGGATTCTTTTTGTTACTTGTCCATCAATAGTTTGTAATGCAGCAAAACAAACTTGAGTGTTTTACTCCTAAAATACAAATTTTTGCTTTGAAAACAGAAATACCGGTTCATATGCCCAGTAAAGCCTGCTCCCTGTACCATGACTAAAAATGGGATCTGGTCCAACACTTACAGATTTGAAAAATACTAGTGAGTGGGTGGAGCTAAGACATTTTGTACCTGCTGCTAATTTGTCTTCAGCTTAGTATAATCCTCCTGTTTTTTTGAAAAGCTAACATCAAGGGTCAGAGTATGTCTTGGCTATGACTGAGAAAATCCCCTATTGAAACTAGCCTCAAAAGCTGTCCCAGTTTAGCCTTCCATGAGCAATGCAACAGCCTTTGACTAGCTAATCATCCTTTCTTATGGTCAGATGCCGAAACGCTTGCAGTCTGTAAAAGTCTTGCCTGAATGGTCTGGGAAGGCGACTAAGAGCGTTCAGCGTTCTTTATCTCCTCTTGTCTCTTCTTTCTGCCTCAACAGGTAGTGCCAAAAAAAACCAACCCCACAAC